ATGACCTTATTTAGGACGATAAGGTTGATTATTTTTTGAATTTCCAGATACTCATTTAAAAGATACAATGCGTTTAGATTATTACATCATGAGAACCAATTAATAAATTTTTGTATAGTCTAATTTAATGAATAAAAATAGTTAATTTTACTTATTTGTGCGTATGTTTTTATTCGCAGAATTTAACCGGGGCCAAAATTAATTGATGTGATTTATACAGAAGGATTTAAGTATAATTGATATACAATGTATATATTTCTATTCAAAAAATTTTCAATTTGGTAAAATATAGCATTTATTGCTTGTATAAATTAACATTAATAGTGGGAAAAAAAGTAGATATCTAAAAAATATTTTTAATTCATATATTTTTTATCGTTTTTTTTTTAGTTAGAAAATAAAACATTTATTCATAATTATTTTTTCAATATATGATTGTCAACTTTAATTTTTATAATTTAATGATATTTTGTTGCAACAAAAGTCCGGTAGATATATAGATAAAATTTATAGTACTGTAATAGGTAAATGGTCATATATAAGTCTTTTACATTCTACCAAAATTTAATTACCGACCCTTGTATCGGAAATCTCAAGTGCACATCATATTTATAATAAGCGTCAAAAAAAAAAAAAAAACAATTATTGTGGCAGTAAAATGAAATCAGATTAAAATGAAATTTTTATAATTTTAATATGAAATTTTAAAATTTTTTTGGAGTAATGTTTTTTGGATTTTTTAGGATTAGGGTTATTAATAAAAGTGTATAAGTGGGTTTTATAGGTACGCAAGGAGACTCCAAATTTCATTTTAATCCGATTTCATTATCGTTATGATCTGCCACAATTATTGTCTCTGGATTATGGTTATGATGAAATTTATACTTGTTTTAATATGAAATTTAAGTATATTTTCTTGGCTTTTTTTTTCAAGCATAAGTTAGAATTTAGGGGTAGGGTTATTTAGAAAAGGGTATAGGTAAATTTATATTCTCAAAAAGAGACCCTAAATTTCACCATAATCCGCGATAATTATTAATAGAGTTCTGTGATCCGTTCCCACTAGTTTAAAAAATGGTGACAATATCTCTTAGGTGTTTTTGTTCATGTTATGTTTTTTTGCTAATATTAAGCATAATTCCAAAATAGGCATTGGAATTAACGATATTAAAATTAGAGTTGGGGTCTACTATTTATTTTTATATAAAACAACATTATTTTGATCTAGATAGTCTACTGGATACCCAAAATGCAAAGCTAGTCATACTCAATGTCAAATTCATCCTAAATTAGAAAGAGTAAGTGGTTAATTTAGACCAAATATTGATTGATTAGTGATAATTATAATATACTTTGGGTTCTTTCGGTTCTTGATCCTCTCCAAATTGTAATGCATTGTCTACGTTGGATAAAACTGCCGTTATAGAATCTTCGTCATGTATATTTAATGGAAGAAAACTAACCATGTTATAATCATCAATCTGCAATTCAGTTAGGTTAATTATAAATTCACCATAATTAAAATACTTAAATATATTGAATTCCCTGGTAAAAATTACCAATTGCACGATCGCTCTATTCAAATCATGAAATCTTGGATTCATCGATGCGTTTGCTTCATCAGCTAACAATAAAGGATCTGGGTCGAAATATCTATAAAATAAAAAAACCAATAATATTTATCAAAACAAGAATAGTAAGACAATATCATATATGAGAGATAATAATTTGCGCTCGCCTTTCTAATTCTCTCTTTTTGACCTTTCCTAATAAATCCATTTTAGATAGAACATTTATATGTGGAATCTCTAAACTAATCATTGCTGACATAGCACTCATGACTCCAGCAAAAAATTTCGAATTATCCTGCATAAATTGACTTTCCAACAAATAAACCCCACAAATACGAAAATGCATTTTTTGCAAACATTCACAAATACGGCGCATAATTGGAAAATGAGTGTAAAGCTCAATTTGGCCTTAAAATTAGAAAAGCGAGTCGCAAAGGGGCAAATTGAGCATAAGAACTGATAAAAGAAACATAAAATTCTGATTTACTATTAGTCATACCTGGGCAATCGATGATCAAATAATCATCCTCATATTCACCCAATTCATCTTCCAACCAATCCATATTATTTAACAGGAACCTTATAATTTTTTAAACATTATATATTTAATTGTAACAATTAATGATAATTTAAAATTTTTCATTAATTAAACGTACTCGAGACAATATATTAGTCCCCCATTAGGCCCATATTGCAATTCCTCCATAACATCTTCCAAAGTTATAAGATCTCGAATATCTAAATTTGCATTATGATGCATTATACAGATTTCTTAATGATGATCTAATCTATTAACCAAATCAGAAAGATTGTAATAATACCTATCGAAGGATCATACTCAAATTTTTCAGCTGCAGGATCAAGGTTAAATAAGTGTACAGAACGACCTATGTTTTGGCAATGGGTCATCATTGTAGCACAATAAGTAGACTACCATTTATTTAAGATAAATATAAATGAAAACTTATTCAATAATCTGAAATTGCCGTTTAGTATTACGAAACTAGAGTTCTCTTACCTTTCCTGAGCCCGCAGGCCCCATTACAAGCTGGACATAACGACCCCTATAAAAGAATAATGGTTAATTAGTCTATGCTATAAAATGCGAAAAGAGTGATTACGGTTTAAAACCTGCATTGTGTTAGCCCAGAAAGAAGTATCAAATAACTTTCTTCCGGCACGCGGTATTTATATAAAATTCTGGGTCGGAAGACTTCGGAATAGATATCTATACTCGACAATAACATGAAATGTTTCCAACTTTTAACGTTAGGTTTATTGCATTTGTACTACGGTGTAAGGTATTGAATGCAAATTTTAATGTTTGGCTGTCACGTTATACCTTATTTTGACTCACGTTAAGAATAATTTTGCGGGTATGCTACCAAAAATATCCTCTTTCACCTCTTTCACTTCTTTCACTTTTTTCACCTCTTTCACCTCTTTCTTTCAATACAATATGAAGTAGAAGTAAGTATAATTAATAATCACGATGAATAGGGTCCGTTTTCACAACGATGATCACGGCGCGTGGAACGTCTCCGCTTAGCTTTTGAGGGAGGAAAAGCGGTTCACGTGAAGCGGCAGGGTGCGTCGAAACAAAGATTGCGGAGACTCGGGAATAGTAAACTGACAACGTATAGCCCCAGTCGAAATATCACTCCCTCTCTACCCCTTTTAAATCTTATATTAGCGGAAATAATTTTTTGATTTTTTTTTTTAAATCTTATATTAGCGGAAATAATTTTTTGTTTTTATTTGTTTTATTTCTATTTCTGCTGATCTTTGATTCGTAGAGGAGTGGAGGTGGTATTTTCGGGACTATACGTTAAGTTTTTTGAAAAGGTCTATTGATTCTATATAAGGAATCCATTAAGCAACTTCCTTTTCACACAAAACTTGCAGTTTATGCCTGCATCCGCTATCCATAGTTTTATTCGATTATGCTTATTGTGAAACATTTTTTTTATTAATTCTTTATACAGTATTACAGTTAGGCGATTTACCAAAGAGAAAACTTATTTGCTGATACACTCTCAAACGGGGAAAGGCCGAAAACATTCGTTACGCAACGTTCAATTCGTTTTTTTTTTTTTTTTTTGGTTTGTAATGCAACGAAGTTTCTACGTTCATTTGAGTTCTTTTTTTTTTTTTTTTTTTAGATATGATACGTACGACGTTACATGTTTTTGATACGCTCGTTACGTTTGTTGAGTTCGTTTTTACGTTTTTGTTTGGATTGGTAAGTTCGTTACGCGTTAACATTTTAATACATTTTAATACGTTCGTTAGGCTTTTTTTTTTTTATGGCTTAACGTATCGGTATTATAAATCAAACCAAATAATTTAAGTTTTAAATTTAATAATTCTTTGCTTATTTTTAATAATATTGATCTAATCTAACATCAAGCAAAGGTTATGGAAACATGGACTTTGAAGCATTGATGAGGTTTTAGGGATTGAAAACGATAATAATTACTGTAGCTTTAAAAAAGCTATACAATAAATATCAAATACCAATACTATATTAATTATTAAAAAAAAAACAATCCTCAATAATTTTTTTATAATTTCTTGTTTTATCACATGTATATAAAGTTTATCAGTTTATATTTTGATAGTTTTCCTATCGCGTGGCTAGTTTATATTTTATCAAGTTTGGTTACAAGTATTTTCGGCATTACTATTACCAGAGTTGAAATAAATTTCGATTTCGATAATATTTTTTAGGGAATTTACAAATAAGAGCCCAAAAATGTAAATAATTACATATTAGGGGCTCTATTTTAATAAATTTTAACAGTTTTTACTATATCTCATGATACCGTCAATGAAATTTAACAATTTTGATACCATTCGAATCGTCTCATTGAGACGCATTGAATGGTAACAAAATCGCCAAATTTTAATTACTGGATTGCGAGTTATTTAACATTTGCTAGAGTCTCTTTAAATAGCAATATCTTGTTATTCTGTCATTAAAATTTAGCGATTTTAGTACCAGTCGATCCGTCTCAACGAGACGATTCGAATGGTATCAAAATCGCTAAATTTCGTTTACTGTATCGTGAGATATAGTAAAATTTGTTAAAATAGGGACCATGAAAGATCGTCAATCAGATGATCTACACTAATAATACAATCGAATTTTTAAATAAAACTTACATTAGGGTTAGGGTTATGACCGAAGTTAGGGTTTTTTTCTATACTAAAATTTTGTGGAGAATTGTTTTTGTTAGTGCGCAGAAGGTAGTTTCATAGAGAGTCGATTGTTAGAAGAGATCTGATTGGTGCATCTGCGCCGATCTTTCATGGTCCTGCTGTGGTAGCTTTGCACAAAGGTGATAATAGTGGAAAACTAAGATTTGATATTTCCTATCAAGCGTATATCATGTAGGCTAGGATTTTTGATGGGAATTTGGTGATTATTAAATAATCAGGTGTCCCATATTATACTTTAGCTAGTTTATATTTTAACAAATGTGGAACTGAGTTATGACGGTATCACTACTTCACACAATTTAAGATTACTTCTCTATAGTTAAGGCATTTACTATAGATGAAAATACGCTTATGTGTTATAAATAAATTTTATGTGCATTTTTTTGAAATTTGAATCTAGATAGTGGATTATAAAGTTACGAAATATTTACTATTGTAATATTGCTTACTAGTAACATCAAAGGTGACATTACTCAATAGTTTTTGGCTTCTTATGTTCATTCAATACGCGATCTAAGTTAAATGCAGCTGTAACAAATAATAAAAAAAATCAATGCAAAAGATTATTAAATATATTCAAGAAATCACATTAAAAGATTTATTTTAATATAAAACTTACCACTAATAAAAGAAATATGAGTAAAAGCTTGAGGAAAATTTCCTAAAAGTTCTCCTCCATTTGCAATTTCTTCACTATATAATCCTAAATGATTTCCATAACCAATCATTTGTTCAAATATAAATTCTGCTTTTTCTAATAACTTTCGATCATATTTTCCAGCTCGTGTTAATGCCTCTATTAGCCAATATGTACACATTGAAAATGATCCTTCTTCTCCATTTAACCCTATATAATGAAGTAAATAAGAAATATCTGGAGAAAATAATAAAATAATATCGTTCATAGTTACCGTCATCTGTCGTGTTAATGTTGTAACGGAAAACAAGATTATTTGCTAAAAGTCCACCTACATGTAGAATAATGTCATTATTAAAATGTTACTAATTTAAATTTCCCGGCAATAAAATAAAATAAAAAATAAATGGGTTATTACCTTTTTCGGGTGGCAACAAAATTTGTTTAATAGTACTTAAGAATCTTGGATCAGTTGGACTAATAAAAAATACTAAAGGCATTACTAATACCGAGGAATCTAAAGAATCTAAAGCTTCATAAGATTGTGTAAATATTTTTCTTTCAGGATTCCAAGCTTTGGTCATAATTTCTTCATAAATTGTATCCCTAACTTGCATCCATTTATTCCTTTCTAGACATGGAAATACACGTTTTTCTGATAGTCTAATTCCTATTTATAAAATAAATCAGAATTAAATTTATTGAATTCAAAAATTAATTTATAAAATAAAGAATTTTGGAATTGAAAATTAATTTATAAAGCAAAGCAGAATTGAATTCAAAAATTAATTTATAAAATAAAGATAAGAATTACAAACCTCGATCCACAGCAACCCAGCACATAATTTTGGAATAAGTAAAATTCTGTTTTCTACCACGAACTTCCCAAATACTCATATCTTCATACATCCAATTGTCACATACATAATTAACTAATTTACGTATGCTAACCCACATATCATAAGAAATTGGGCTACCATATTTATTATATAAATATAGAGCATCTAATAATTCACCATAAATATCCAGTTGAACATGATCATACGCTCCATTTCCTATGCGTACAGGACGTGAACCTCGATATCCATCTAAATGATTAAGTTCTTTTTCGACTAATCGTTTATCACCATCAATGCTATACATGATATTTAATGATCCATCGGGATTCTTGTAACATAAATGATTATATCTAATGTCAATATTATTATTATTATTATTATTATGAATGTGAAAAAGAAGTTAGAATGGTTTACCAAATCTTGACATCTTTCTTCCATGAAATTCATATAATGTTCAGCTTCTTTCGTCATTCCAAGTCTCATCAAAGCATAAACCGTAAACGCGGAATCCCTGACCCAAGTATATCTATAATCCCAATTTCTGTTACCTCCAATGGCTATCAATATAAATTATATATTAACTTTATAGTATATAGAAATAAATATATAATATTTAGTTAATTAAAGACT